GGAAGGAAGAAGGAGGAAGAAAGGAAGGAAGAAAGAAAGAAAGAAAGAAAAAGAAAGAAAGAAAAGAAAGGAAAGAAAGAAGGAAGGAAGGAAGTCCCATGCTTTCTATCCCGGAAGGATTAAAAAGTGGCAAAATGAATTCTCCTATTCTAATAACAACAAGGACATGAAGGGATTAGTGTTTCTCTTTCATTGTTTCTGGTCTTTCAGAACTGGGCTCCAAGGAAGCTCAAATGATTTAACTGTTGTTGTTGTGGTGGTTGTTGTTGTTGTTGTTGTTGTTGTTGTTGTTGTTGTTATTATTATTATTATTATTATATTATTATTATTATTATTATTATTATTATTTTAGAGGTAAAGCTTATCCCCCAAATCAAAGTTTCCCACTGATTCAAGTTGTCAAGCAGGGGCCAAGCTCCACTAGAATCTGCTATTCAGAAAACCAGATAAAAGCCTCTGGTGCCCTTAAGACAATTAATTATAGATATAGTAAGTGACAACACGATGTGGCAGGCTACACAATCTGAGATTCCTGACAAATCTAATTAACAGCACATCGGAGGTACTTTGCCTTTCTTTACATACCTTGTCAGCTTTAAGAGTCTAATGAGGAACACAGTTTAAACGTTCTTAAGAAGTTCCCAAGTTGGATCGCATGGCTTCAAACTGGACCTCCCCTTAAAACCACCGGTGCTCAAACACTTTGCAAGTTTGGGTGAACAGAAAAGTTCCTCTCAAGACACCTACAGCCGTGCGAGATGACGTAGGCCCCCCCAAAACTTTAAAAAAAAACAAAAAAAACCCCCACTGATGTGGTTTGAGTTAATATGATAATTGCAAATAAATCATTAGGCACCTTGTTTTCAGCCGATCCATCTGGACCGCGTCCATAAAGACAAGAGATGTTAAAATGTGAATGTTTGTTGAAATGAAGTGTGACGCTGGGGTCTTTTAAATGGGCAACGATCAACAGCCGCCAATTTTATTTGGCTTTGTAGCATATTGATGGGTGGCTACTGCTCCTTCATGGCACTCCTGGTTTTCATATCTAATAAAAATCTAATGAAAATGTCTATATGTGTGGGCGTACAAACCCAAAACAATTTTTGGGGGTTGCTGCAGGCATACAGAGAGACACTTTCATTAGATTTTTTTTTTTAAAGTAAGATTAAAAACGTATACATCAGAATGGACTAAACTAGACTAGACTAGACTAAGAATAGAAACAGCAAATGAAACACAACAAACACGAAACAGAAACAAAATCTGGAAGGGACCTTGGAAGGTCTTCTAGTCCAACCCCCTGCTCCAGCAGGAGATCCTATACCATCTCAAACAAGAGACTGTCCAGTCTCTTCTTAAAAACCTCCAGTGATGGAGCGCCCACAATTTCTGGAGGCCAGCTGTTCCACTGGTTAATTGTCCTCACTGTTAGGAAGTTTCTCCTTAATGCCAAGTTGCTTCTCTCTTTGATTAGTTTCCAACCATTATTTCTTGTCCTGCCCTCCAGTGCTTTGGAGAAGGAGGGAGGGAGGGAGGGAGGGAGGGAAGGAAGGAAGGAAGGAAGGAAGGGAGGGAGGGAGGGAGGGAGGAAGAAAGAAAGAAAGAAGAAAGAAGGAAGAAAGAAAGAAAGAAAAGAAAGAAAGAAGAAAAAAGAAAGAAAGAAGAAAGAAAGAAAGAAAGAAGAAAGAAAGAAAGAAGAAAGAAAGAAAGAATTTCTGAAGGCCAGCTGTTCCACTGGTTAATTGTCCTCACTGTTAGGAAGTTTCTCCTTAATGCCAAGTTGCTTCTCTCTTTGATTAGTTTCCAACCATTATTTCTTGTCCTGCCCTCCAGTGCTTTGGAGAATAAAACAGAGAAAAGGAGGGAGGGAGGGAGGAGGAGAGAGAGAGAGAGAGAGGAAAAGAAAGAAAGAAAGAAAGAAAGAAAGAAAGAAGAAAGAAAGAAAAGAAAGAAAGGAAAGAAAGAAAGAAAGAAATCGAAGAGAAAGCTAAAAGTACAAGAAGAGGGGGGATCAACCAGGAGGGATCAACTTACTCCAAAGAGGATCAACCTATTCTCCAAAACACCTGAAGCAACGGATAGAAACTAATCAAGGAGAGAAGCAACCTAGAACTAAGGAGAAATTTCCTGACAGTGAGAACAATTAACCAGTGGAACAACTTGCCTCCAGAAGTTGTGCGTGTTATTCTATTAAGAAAGTATTCTGTATTAGTTTGTATTCGTTTTTAATCATCTTCTTTTTTTAAACCTTTTGATGAATTTATAAAAAAAACAGACAAACAAACCTTCGAAAGCCAAACACACTGGGATCTCAAACAGCATAATCCTCTACCAGAAAGCAAAACAATTCTGCTATTTTTACTCGATTTTTAGTTTCGAAACAAGCATGTTTTAAATAAGACTTCTGGTTTGGGTTTATTATAATACTGTAGTAGTTCGCGACGAACCTCCCGCCATGCCTTTTTCTCTGCCAATTGGCTTTATTATTTAGCAAGGATGAGTCTATTTCTGAGGTGGCACGATAGGAATTATAACAGGAATAAATTAGATCAACAGAAATCAATTGTGCTCAGAGATCCCCTTCCTTCTGTTAAAACGTACTTCAGTAACTAAAAATACCTTTGGATGGATATCATCTTACAGAAAAAGTGTTCTATATATCTAATATAATCGGTTGTGGCAATCAAGGAGGATGCATTTTTTTCTAAAAACAAGCCCTGGCTCTCTTATAAGCTTTCAAACGTTTTTAAAAGAAACCACAATATTTTCCACTACTTTATAAAAACAGGTTCCATTTTCTCCAGTTCTGGCTTCAAGATGTCAAGGGATGGGAAGGACCAGACACAGCATTGTGAGCTCATTAGAGATGGATATGCAAACGAACATTTCAACTGAGTTCCATGCAAAATGAAAACATTTTTTTAAAAAAAAACAACTATAGGTGTCAACTTAGTTCTGAGTTATTCTTTGCCTGCCCCCCCAGACATAAATCCAACCTGCCCGTTTTAGCTATCTAGATAAGTATGAAAAAACATTTTCTCCAAAGCAGTAACTTTGATTAGGTTAAGGTAGCAAGCTGTTCTCACCAATACAAATTAATACATTTACACAGAATATCTATTATGGCAGGAGTGGGCAAATATGGCCCTTTTACAACCTGTGGACTTCAACTCCCAGAATTCCTGAGACAGCCAAGCTGGCTCACGAATTCTGGGAGTTGAAGTCCACAGGTCATAAAGGGGCCATATTTGCCCACCCCTGATCTATGGAGATTCTCGGTCAACCAGGTCAGGGTTGTCCCAAAGGTGCCTTTTCAGAAGGCAACTGGACTTTTGTTTTTTTTTCCTTGAAGACAGAACTGAAGACGTTTCTTGGATGAGAAGCGAAATGTCTTCAAGAAAAAAAAAAAAAAAAAAAGTCCAGTTGCCTTTTGAAAAAGCACCTTTGAGACAGCCAGTACGAACAAAACCACAAATCAGTTCTCACTCAAATACAATCCCATCACAAGGCTGTACTATACAGGTAGAAAACTATATTGTGCTATACAAAAATATACAAGGCTGCACATTTTTAAGCTACCACAATAATTTGGGCAGTAGCGCAGCTACTTCTTCCAAACGGAACGAATGCACAAGATCCATACTTTTGACCGTAAGCATCCTAGTAGTCCCTCGGCAAGATGGAGGGCACAGAAATAGGCGTAAGTATTGAAATAGAAATAGGCACAGAAAACGGGTAATAAAAAAAAAAATATTCTCGGGGAAGAAGCAGGCAGCCAAACATGTTACCCACAATCTTTAAAACACCTTGATGAAGTCCAGTTGCCTTTTGAAAAAGCACTTTGGATACCTTGTTATAAATTTAAAAGATAAGGGAAAGGTGTCTCTGTGGATTTTACTCTGCCAGTCGTTGCTGACTTTAGGGGGTGTCCCAAAGGTGCTTTTTCAGGAGGCAACTGGACTTCCTTGTTTTTTGTTGGGGTTTTTTGGGGGGGGGGAGACGTTTCGCTTCTCCTCCAAGGAGCTTCTTCAGCTCTGACAGGGTAGTGGAAGGATTTATATTCCTTGCAGACAGCTGGTCATTTGCATCCTTTTAGAGGGTCGCTGAAGCACTTGGAGGTTTTATCTGTGTCCTCAGGGTCACCTGAGTAGTGCTCCTTGTTGCTGTAGTCTGCAATTTTTTTTATTTTTTTTATTATTATTATTATTTATTTTTATATGCCGCCCTTCTCCGGAGACTCAGGGCGGCTTACAATGCGTTAAGCAATAGCCTTCATACTTTTGTATATTTTATACAAAGTCAGCTTATTGCCCCCACAAACCGGGTCCTCATTTTACCCACCTTAGAAAGGATGGAAGGCTGAGTCGACCTTGAGCCTGGTGAGAATTGAACTCGCAGTAATTGCAGGTAGCTGGATGTTAAATGCTGCCTTAGTAGGAGGCATTAGCCTCCTACGCCACTCAGGCTCCTGAGCAATCCATTCCTACTCCCAACACCATTCAAAGGGTGTCCATTCCAAATTGTAGAGCTAAACATCTGTAGAGATTCTCAGTCATTCAGGTCATGGTGGACAATCATGACCTGGATGACTGAGAATCTCTACGGACTTTAGGGAGTGTTGCTCCTCTCTGTTTCAAGGCCATTGAGCCACGGGGTCAGGTGGCCAGCATGACCTCATGGAGTGCTGTTACCTTCCCACCGAAGTGGGTACCCTAGTACGGTATACAGGCTTAAGGAAACATCAAATGCTTCAAATGAAAATTGCCAACTTTGGACCAGCCGTCGCAAGCCTGCTCGAGGGCTGCAAATTTGGAAGTGGGTGGGGGGTGGGGATTGGTGGAATTAATGCAATAAGGCTGAGGTCGCTCTCGCAATCTCGACCGGTGAGTTTATTAAGTGTCAGGATGTATTACATGAACACGGTGGGGGAAGTGAACTGTAAATGGAGAAATAGCATCAGCAATTCGGCAATCGTATTTTTAAATGTGGCTCCTTACCTTTTGTTAATAGGCTTCTCATTTTTTTCGTATGGACGGATGAACCACTTCCCGATCCTGACAAAGTTTTTGTCCATCAGGCATCTGAAAGAAGAAAGAGAGAAAAGTAAGAAAAGGGTCATTTCACTAACAGAAAAGGATGCTATCGTCTTCGTGGCATTCACCTTTCATGGCTGTTTGTATCCAGCTCTGCTTTTCTGCCCTTATTAGCCTTGGTCCCTTATTTCTCTCACGTCATTACTGTCTGTCCGGGTGTATATTTTAAAAAATGGGTGTCGCCCTACCCCCCTCCCCACATCAACTAATAACAGGCTAATTCTCACATCATCAAAGCAGAGACCCAGCTGGCTGCAAATGCTAATTTAAAAAATGTTATCTTTTACTGGATTAGTGTGTAAAGCCAGCCTTCCAAAATACAAAAAAAAAAAAAACAAAAAAAAAAAAACAATGATTAGACAAATATTTTCAAACCGTAGTACTGACTCGTGTAAGAAGATATATTTTGATCAGCTAAGTTGATAGCTCGGTACTGAAACACAGTTATTTTGAAGCAATAAAGTGTTTGAATTTTAATTAAGTATACCTTAACAACATTATGTAAAGCTTCAGTAAATGAGACCCATTCACTAAGCATTATATTCTAGAGCATTAGAGTCAATAAAAATCAGCAATGTGTCATTATGTGCATATTAATAGTTAACCCATTATCCAATTGCCTGTTCCTAGGTAGTCAAAATGGAACCACTTAGCATGCAAAAAAAATAATAATAATTAATATACACTCCATCCGAGCTCTGCAACACAATTAGATCTAATCAAGTTCAACAGCCATGAAAGAGTGAGTTGATTGATTTCTCAAGTGGGAACGTGAAACACCAACAAGTGCTAAAATACTGTTTTTATTTTCAGAAGCGGTTCAGCAAATGCAAGCCTTTCACAATCACTCAAACAGATGTTTCTATGCCCCACGGTCCCTAAATCCAGGGTTGTCTGAGGTTTATATAGCATGGCCTGTATTGCAGCTCAAAATGCAGCAACAACTGGCAATTATTTGTTTTGTAATTCCAGGGCAAGAGAGCGATTACAGTAATCGAAAGATCAAACCGAGATCAGGAATCCAAGGTTAACTACCGGGGCTCGGTGAGTAGCCTCGTTCGCTTACGATTTGATTTTATCTGGTCAAAAACAGCAGTTGTGAAGATGCTAAAAAATAAGTGGCATGCTATCACATCTAGCAACAGAGTCAAAAAAGGTAGTCTTCCACTTACAATCGCAATTGGGATCAGGATCCCTGTTGTGCTAAGCAAGCGATTATTAAGCTGAGCAAGAGATTATTAGTAGTAGTAGTAATACTAAGTACAGCTAGTCCTCGACTTCACGGCAATTGAGCCCAACATTTCTGTTGTTAAGCCAGATATTTGTTAAGTGAGTTTTGCCCCATTTTACGACCTCTCTTGCCGCAATGATTAAGCGAATCGCTGCCGTCGTTAAGTTAGGAACAAGGGTTGTTAAATGAATCTGGCTTCCCCATTGACTTTGCTTGTCAGGTGGTCGTAAAAGGGGATCATGTGGCCCAGGGACACTGCAACCATCATAAGCGTGAATCAGTTGTCAAAAAAGAGCCTGAGAGTACAGTGGATTAAAGCACTGTTAAGTAACACCAGCTGCTTGCAATTACTGCAAGTTCAAATCTCACCAGGCTCAAGGTTGACTCAGCCTTCCATCCTTTCTTTCAAAGGTAGGTAAATTGAGGACCCAGTTTGTGGGGGCAATAAGCTGACTTTGTATAAATATACAAAAGGATGAAGGCTATTGCTTAACGCATTGTAAGCCGCCCTGAGTCTCCGGAGAAGGGCAGCATATAAATTAAAGCAAAAAAATAAAATAAAATCCAAATTTGGATCACCTGACGATGGAGATGCAGCAACGGCCTTAAATGTGAAAAACGATCGTAAGTCACTTTTTTCAGTGCCTTTGTAACTTCAAACTGTCACTAAACGAACTGTCAAAGGTTTACCTGTACTGGATTAGTATTATTAAAACAACCTATATGAAGACAGTTAGGGGTCAAAATAACAAACTGATCAAACAACAGGTTAAATCTATTATTGAGGCTACGATGAGAAAACACTAATTTAATTCCAAGTTTCCTATTTGCACTTTAAAAAAAAAAAAATCCCAGTCCATTTTACTACCATGAACTGGTGCCATTTCTATTTTAATATTGCTCTAAGGGAAGTCGACTCGCCTTCCGGAACTGAAACAACTGTTCAAAGAAGCAAAGGATTCTTATCTATAAGGCACAAAACTAATTTAAATACAGAAGCAATACGTTGAAAATTTCAGAGAGTCCCCCACTGGGAAAATTAGGAGCTCCCCACCCCACCAAAAAAAGAGGAAGCATTTCTTAGCCTTCGAATATTTGGGTTTGACAGCAAACAGAAAGCAACCCATCTCAAAAATTAGTAACTTGGGGTGTATTTCGCTAATTCCTTGTGAAGTCTATATTGTAGCTTGTTTAAAAAGACCAGCCGCAAAAAAAAAAAGAAAAAAAGGTTTTTGGCAAATTCTGAGATATCAGCCAAAAGGAGGAAACAGTTCATTAGCGAGCAATCAAAACCATGGGGCCTTGCCAGAAAGGAATGTTTGTATCGAACAATGGAAAGTTTAATCAAGATGACATGAGGAATCAAGCCTTCGCGTTGAAAAAAATTCAAGAGGAATTCCAGACTGCTAATTCTACTGGATTTCCAAGGCCCCGAATAACAGTATTTTCTTGGCGACTGGGATTTGAAGATAAATTTCTCGATGTGCTTAATTTTAAGAAGGGGGGGGGGACTGTTTAAACTGACTCCCATCCCATCCGATCCCTTTTGCCAGTAGCATAGAAATAAAAACATAGGTAGTCCTCGACTTACAACAGTTCATTTAGTGACTGTTTGAAGTTACAACAGCACTGGGGGGAAAAAAATGATTTACGGACATTTTTCACACTTTACAACTGTTGCAGCTCCCCCATGCTCACGCGATCAAAATTCGGATGCTTGGCAACTGGCTCATATTTATGACGGTTGCAGTGTCCGGGGGTCACGTGGTCTCCCTTTTGTGACCTTCTGACAAGCAAAGTCCATGGGGAAGGCAGATTCACTTTAACGACCGTGTTACTAACTTAACCACTGCAAGGATTCACTTAATATCCACGGCAAGTAAAATGGGACAAATGTCTCACTTGGCAGCACAAATTTTGGGTTCAATTGTGGTCATAAGTCGAGGACTACCGTGTTTCCCTGAAAATAAGACCCTGTCTTATTTTTTATTTTTATTTTATTTATTTTTTTGAACCCTGAAATAAGTGCTTGGCCTTATTGCCATGCGCTCAAAAAGTCCGATTGGGCTTATTATCAGGGGATGTCTTGTTTGGGGAAAACAGAGTATCTATCTATCTATCTATCTATCTATCTATCTATCTATCTATCTATCTATCTACCTACCTACCTACCTACCTACCTACCTACCTTGTTTCCCCAAAAATAAGACCCTATCTTATATTTTTTTTGAACCCTGAAATAAGCGCTTGGCCTTATTGCTATGCGCTCAAAAGCCCGATTGGGCTTATTATCAGGGATTGTCTTATTTTGGAGGAATAAGGGTTTACAGCCCTCTCTAAGCGGTTTACAGAGTCAGCCTCTTGCCCCCAACAACGACATCAATGATACTGCAACGAAGAATTTTAATATGTTCACCTATTTAAGAGACCGCCATCTCTAAAATAAATGTCGTCCTTGACTTTTGACAATTGAGCCCAAAAATCTCCGTGGCTAAGTCGTAACTTTACGACTTGTGGATTTCAACCCCCAGAATTCCTCAGCCAGCCATGCTGGTTGGCCGAAGAATTCTGGAAGTTGAACTTTAAAAAAATCACACATTTGCCACGGCTGGAGACTCCTGTGCTATGGGATGAAAACAGTGGTGGGATCCTTCCGGTTTAACAACCGGTTTGGTGATCGCGCGCTTTGCTCGCACACATGCGCAGTTGAATAAAAAATCACCTTCTGCGTTAGTGCTAGGGAATTAAAACAGCTGAGGGGCGGCAATCTGCTCTACCGCGCTAATCAGCTGCAAAGATAAAAGTAAGTAAAGTGTGGGGCCGGTGGGCAGGCCCAGCTGATCGTCAGAGCGAACCGGTTCACTCCCAGCTGATCGTCGGAGCTACCGGTTCACCCAAACCAGTCCGAACCGGAAGAATTCCCACCCCTGGATGAAAAGGACTTGACCACCTCTGCCTTAGACAAACATCTGTCTCATGCTTCTTTTGGACAAAATAACCAGCTGTGATTGCCAAGACCATCTGTATTCCATTACGTCCTGGTCTGTCTTACAACAACTGCCTTCCTATTTCCCCCATTTTTAGTCTTTAAGCTGGAGGGACGAAGATAGAGCGAAAGTGTGTTGCTGTTGTGTTAAATGCAGGGAGTTTGGTAAATTTTCTTAATTGCGGTTTCGCAAACATTTATCTTCCGGGCAACCCTTCATTTAATCCACGAGATTTCCTCCTCGTTTTAAGGTCTTAGCAAAGTACGCATCTTTTCTCATATACGAATAGAAGAAGGGAAAAACATTCCTGAGTGCTGCTTTTCCCTACCTCGTTGAAAAGAGGACTGTTCGGCACCTTCCCCTGAAGCAAACTGTGTGTCAGATTACTAAATTCAAATCGGAAATCCAAAGCAACATTAACAAAGCCATCGTACACACTCACCTTTCCAACAGATTGTGGATTGCCTTGAAAAGCAGCGTCCTGCATTCGTACGAAAGCCCGTTCTCCAAAATCCCTCTTCGATCACTGCAAGAGAGGAAAAACAGCGGAAGTGTTAGCATTTTCTTTTATTTCTTTATATCTTCCCTTTATTGTTTTTATAAATAATTTGAGGCAGCCAGCATACCTAATACTCCTTCCTCCTCCTGTTTTCCCCACAACAACAACTCTTGATGTGAGCTTGGATGAAAAAGAGGGACTGACCCAAAGTCACCCAGTTGGCTTTCATACCTAAGATGGGACTAGAATTCGCAATCTCCTGGTGATTGGCCCAAGTTATCCAGCCACTTTCAAGCCTAAAGTGGGAACTAGAACTCACTGTCTCCTGGTGATTGGCCCAAGTTATCCAGCCACCTTCAAGCCTAAAGCGGGATTAGAACTCACTGTCTCCTGATGATTGGCCCAAGTTATCAAGCCACTTTCAAGCCTAAGGGGGAACTAGAACTCACTGTTTCCTGGTGATCAGCCCAACATCACCCATCCAGCTTTCATTATAGAATCTTTCTAGAGTTTGTTGTGCAATAAAAACAACTTCAAACAGGGTGAGTTCAGCCATTTTCACTTCTATTATTTGAAACCTGAGATCAGAATGGCTACGCAACACCACGCTTAATTTCTCATCGCCATTGTATCTGTTTCATCTATCTTTCCAAAGATTCACTCTCTTCAGTAATATGTGCAGTAATAGTTGCTGTCAATTAAAAACATCATCAATCAAAGGAGCAACAGAAGCTGATGAACTGGATGAAACAATACTAAGCTATGTACTTGGTGGATAATTCTGGATCCACTCACTATCAGAATCCTGGATGCATAAAATTGGATTCATCAGACATATGGGGAGCAATTACAATCAATCTTAAGTATTTTGGGAATTAAGGGCTTGACTCTTCGCCTTCAGAGTGACCAAAAGCTTTCAAAATCCCACCATAATCAACCCTCTGCAACTGAATTAATATGAATACAGGTATCTATGGGGATTCCCAGTCATCCATGCTATGGTTATCCCAAAGGTGCTTTTTCAAGAGGCAACTAGATTTTCTGGTTTTTCTGGATGACTGAGAATCTCCATAGACATTTAGAGATGCGTTTTGAGATGAACGCCCTTCGAATGGCGTGGGAGAGAGCTGAAGAAGCTTCTTGGATGAGAAGCGAAACGTCTTCAAAGAAAAACCCAGCGGCCTCTTCAAAAAGCACCTTTGGGACATGAATACGAAGAGCCCTTGACTCTCAACCGGTTAGCATCAGAAAACCAGACCCCCCCCTTTCCAAACATAGAAAAACTCATCAACCGTGCAAAAAACTTTTGACCGACAGATTGGCAGCTTTCTAATTTTTTTTTAAGGGTGGCAGCTAAGCAACCTTTCCTAGGGTCTGCTCATTTTTCATAGCCCAATTTTCGAACTGCAAAGAAAGAAGCCATGTAGAGATCAAGATAACAGACGTTTTAAGCGTATTGGTAGCAGTTAGGACAACGCCGATTTTAAAATTCAGCCTTTTGCTTTTAATTCTGATTTGTTTTTCATTTTCATTTGTCACGCTGTTTTAACAACAACTTTGAAACAACTTTGTTTAAAAGCAAAAGCCAATGAGATTCCACATCCTTCAGTAGGGCAAACAGCCGATTTGAAAAGGTAGGATTTGTATGATAAAAAATAGCAGGGGCACAAGATTAATATCCCCACCCTGCAGTGTCACTGAGTTTCCTACCTAATGTGCAGCTGACCTTTAAACAAATATCTGTACTCACAAAGGAAGAAGTCCAGAGTTCGTCCCATCTACGGCTTCTACACCTCAGATACCTGAATTAATTAAAAGTTATTGTCCTGCACACTGACTTACTACTGTCCTGCTATTGGCTTGCTGCAGAAAAAAGCAGGGGGAACATACATTATGGGACACGATTAGTTGCTTGGTCATTAAAAATGACTGAAAATCAATTTCTTCCTCTGTTGTGCTGAAAAGCTTTTTAGACTAAAGTGTGGAGCACGAGATAAGGAAGCAAACAATTACAGATGGAGGCTTTTTCGTACATTTTAAAAAAAAACTGATGCTGTTTTTTTTTTCCTCCCTATGATGCCCTTTCTTCAGTATTAAAAAAAATCAATCTGAAAATCCAATTCATTGGCAAACGTCTACATTAAATAAATATATCAAAAATCCAATTACCACAGACTGGAACTAACAGCATTTTATCTCCGGTTGAATTTGTCCATTTAAGTGACAAATGCAAAAGTATCACGGTGTCCTGGAAACTGACGTACACAAAGCCAACAAAACAGCATTGATTCTGAAATACTGCATTAAGGCCATAAACTATCTAATCAAAGGCGAGCCTATTTGATCTATCATTGTTGCAATACCGCCGATACCCTGCAAATTACGTGTTTGAAGTGCGTTCCGACTCTAAAGGGACTGGCTGCTACGGTATGTGCAACGAAGCCCCGTCTACTGCTCACGGGTTTTATGCTGCTTTTAGCTAAGGAAGTGTGTCATCGTGTACTATATTCAAACGATGGGAAAAATATCTTTGCCATCCGATCATTATGTATTATGTTACCCTGTTTGCTTTGAGGCTATTACAAGTGCATAGGTAGGTAGGTAGGTAGGTAGGTAGGCAAACAGACAGACAGATACTGTAGAGATAGATAGATAGATAGATAGATAGATAGATAGATACTGTAGCTAGATAGATAGCTAGATAGACAGACAGACAGACAGACAGATACTGTAGATATAGATAGATAGATAGATAGACTGATAGATAGATAGATAGACTGATAGATAGATAGATAGATAGATACTGTAGCTAGATACTGTAGATAGATAGATAGATAGATAGATAGATAGATAGATAGATAGATACTGTAGCTAGATACTGTAGATAGATAGATAGATAGATACTGTAGATAGATATAAAGAAAGCTAGATACTATAGCTAGATAGATACTGTAGCTAGATAGATAGATACTGTAGATAGATATAAAGAAAGCTAGATACTATAGCTAGATAGATACTGTAGCTAGATAGATAGATACTGTAGATAGATATAAAGAAAGCTAGATACTATAGCTAGATAGATACTGTAGCTAACTAGATAGATACTGTAACTAGCTAGCTAGCTAGGTAGCTAGATAGATAGATAGACAGACAGACAGACAGACAGACAGACAGACAGACAGACAGACAGATACTGTAGATATAGATAGATAGATAGATAGACTGATAGATAGATAGATAGACTGATAGATAGATAGATAGATAGACTGATAGATAGATAGATAGATAGATAGATAGATAGATAGATAGATACTGTAGCTAGATACTGTAGATAGATAGATAGATAGATACTGTAGATAGATATAAAGAAAGCTAGATACTATAGCTAGATAGATACTGTAGCTAGATAGATACTGTAGATAGATATAAAGAAAGCTAGATACTATAGCTAGATAGATACTGTAGCTAGATAGATAGATACTGTAGATAGATAGATACTGTAGCTAGATAGATAGATACTGTAACTAGCTAGCTAGCTAGGTAGTAGATAGATAGATAGACAGACAGACAGACAGACAGACAGACAGACAGATACTGTAGATATAGATAGATAGATAGATAGATAGACTGATAGATAGATAGATAGATAGACTGATAGATAGATAGATAGATAGATAGATAGATAGATAGATAGATACTGTAGCTAGATACTGTAGATAGATAGATAGATAGATAGATACTGTAGATAGATATAAAGAAAGCTAGATACTATAGCTAGATAGATACTGTAGCTAGATAGATAGATACTGTAGATAGATAGATACTGTAGCTAACTAGATAGATACTGTAACTAGCTAGCTAGCTAGGTAGCTAGATAGATAGACAGACAGACAGACAGACAGACAGACAGACAGACAGACAGACAGACAGACACTGTAGATATAGATAGATAGATAGATAGATAGATAGATAGATAGATAGATAGATAGATAGATAGCAGGCAGGCAGGCAGGCAGACCAATTGATTCCTGACTAAGGACATTCTGCAGCATGAGAATATTAACAGGCAATTTAATAGATATGCCTAGAGTGGGAACAGCTGAGCTCTTTACTGTTTACTGTTTTTTAATAGAGTGCTAAAACTAAGGCATTCCCATTACATGATTTTTTTTAAAAAAAAAACTCAATCGAGGATAAAACAATGATCACCTTTGATTAAGGAAAGATACTTTTATTATATTGGAAAGCTAAAGGAGCTGAGCTTTTTATTTATTTATTTATTGTAGTGGGTAGCCACACACAAACACACACACACACACACACACACACACACACACATATATATTATAATATGTTAATCCGATCAATGCCCTACAAGACCAAAAATTTCCCGCCAAACAAATTAAACCCAATAAACTGGCTTTTAATAAGCCCGATACCATGCTGACGATAATCTGTAGAGGACTTTCAACTCTCTCATTAGTTTTTTCATCTGGTTTCCACTTTAAATAGAATGCTTCTGCCACCTCATTTTGTTGATCGATCGTGATATGTTTCATGTTCGGCTCTTTATATTGGGTTTCCGTTGAAATGCTCTTTATATAACTATGAAAAACACCGTCTCTTTTATTTAGCCCTTTCACTTTCTTTCAGGATTATATTGCTATGTTATCGCCAACTCCTTTGTGTTTTTTCAGCACTTCCAGATACTGAAAAACACGGTTACATAAACATAAAAAAATGGAAAATGCACCATTTAAAAAGACAGTTTTAAAAAAAAAAGACTCAACCACTTTCCCAGGGACTAACGCATGTCTACTTCTCACGGGTCGATGTGCAGAATATTATTATTAGACAGAAAACAGAAGCTGTTGACTCTTACTTTTGCATTTAACTTTCCTTTTCTTTTTTTAATGTTTTGATTCTTCTTCTAGTAGCCCATGAATAAGTCACAGGGCGCTCGGCGTGATCTGAAATTTATTCTAATTCGAGACTTTCACACGGCACAGAAAGTAATTGTGGCCATG